TGTGTGTGTGTGTGTGTGTGTGTGTGTGTGTGTGTGTGTATGCATACATGTGCATACTTGTGCATGTGGAGGCCAGGGGACAGCATGAGTTGTCATTTTTCTGGTGCCATTCATTTTTATTTTTTGGGACAGAGTCTCTCATTAGCTTAGAACTCATCAAGTACGTTAAGCTGCCTGGCCAGTGAGCAGGAAGGATCTGTATCTGCCTCTCAGTGCTGGGGACACAAGTATATGCCACCATTCTCCATTAAAAAAAAAAGTTCTGGAGATGGAACTCGGCTTCCTTGACCACCAAAGGAAGGGGTAGATTGGATGGCATTTGAGAATTCGAGCTCAAGGCCATCACTTTGCTGACCCTTGGCTCCCCCAGCTGTGGACCAAGGCTTCTCCTTAGCTCAGAGTAGTAGTGAAGATCAGGAAAACCATTCACAAATGCACAAGTTCTGTCTTGCATAAAGAGTCTGGCAGAAGGGACAGATGAAGATAAATTTCTCTCAGACAGGGCAGCCATTTTTGTGACCTGTACCCAGGGGCCTAGGAGCCTGTGGTGGCTGGAACTGGCACAGTGGCCATGCATCGAGTGACTGAGACACAGAGACTAGTAAAATGTCATTCCTGCCCTGGAGGAATCAGATACTAAAGGGGAAGAAGAGAATAGCACACAGGATGCTCTCTGTGGTAGTGTCCCCACAAGCTCAATCTTGCTTGATTTATTTTAAACTAAAAATTCACCGAGGGTTTAACATGGCAAACACCATCTTAGGTGCTTATGTAATCTCAAAACGACTCCCATGGACTGGCAGCAGGCCTACTGTGAGGAGGCAGAACCAGGGGAGCATCACCAGAGGTGGATGGACTAGCAGGAGGGTGTTTTACCTCCATCCCATTCTTCCTGGGGGTCAATGCTCAGTGTCATTTTTATTTCCCATACTGCTTTTCTAAGTGCTATCCAGTTTTTTTTTTCAAATGAGAACAGTGTCTTTAGAGATGAGAAACTATCTTAAACATTAAAAAGTATTCCAAAGACTGCATATGTAACAGCATTGTCACACGGCATGGCTCTCTCTAATGGCCACCTGTCATTTGGGTACAATGTGTCCTAGAATTGCTTTTCTCGTTTGTACCAGGATAGACATGGTTATTGACGGGAAAGAAAAAGGTTTATTTGGTGAGTCCCCAAGCAAAAGAGACTCCAGTGTAACTTGGTGAGTGTCCATCCCTCAGCCAGAGTTTTCTTTTATAAAAAGGTGCTACTCGTCTGTTGATGGACACCTAGGCTGACTCCTACTATTGTGAAAAGAACAGTGATAAACGTGGATGCATGTGGACCTCTTTAGAAGGTTGTAAAGTTCTTTACGGAGATGCCCAGGCATAGCATAGCTGGGTCATATGGTCGCTGTATATTTAGTTTTCTGGAGGGGCCTCCACACTCATTTCCACAGTGGCGGTGCCAGTTTACATCGTCATAATGTCTAAGGAGTCCTCTTTCCTATGCCCTTTGTCATTTGTTTTCTTGATTGTAGCCGTTCTGGCTGCAGCAGCACATATACACAACAGAATTTTATTCAGCCGTAAAGGAAAATGAAACTATGAAGTGTGCAGGAAAATGTATAGAACTGGAAGACATTATATTAAATGAGGTGCCCAGACGAGAAAGACACATTCTGTGTGTTCTCTCTCATAGGAGGATTTTACTTCATTAACTGTGCGTGGGAGGAAAGTTGGGTAAAGACTAGGAAACTGGAAGGGGGCCAGTGAGACTGGAAAAAAGAGGCTTTAAGGGAGGGCTGGGGAAGACAACAGAACAATGTGCAAGCGGGAAGACTGGGGGCAAAAGAGTGGAGCAGAGGAGGGGAGGCAAGCGATGCGAGAGGAGCAGAAGGGGAAACTCAACCAAGATACATGCGTACAAGAATCCCATAGGGAAATTTGTTACTTTTTAATTTTTAATTCAACAAATACCAAAAGGAAAACACAACAGAGAAGTGCTGCTGACCAGTGGTTTGAAAGTCTTGCTCTTCACTCTCGAGTGGACATTGCTGCATCTGGCCTGTCCTCTATAGGACAAAATCTCCAGAGAGTGGGGAGGACCTTGGACTTGGGATTGTAGCAGGAAAAGAATCTGATGTGGATGGCTAACTGCTGCTCTCTAGAAAGGGATCTTGGGACAGTTAAAGAAATTCATGAAACTATTCACCTGTAATAAATAATCAGTGCTCATACATTTGAAAATGTCTGTTGTTTGGTTCTTTCCCTTACTTGATTGGGGAGCAATGGGTCGCTCTAGGCAGCCTGCTTTCACAGTCACCACAGAGAGGAAATAAGATAGGAGATTCATCTTTTAGTGTGTTTTGGAACACCCAGAGTACAGTGAAAGTGGACCCATGCCTTGAGTTTTAGGAGATCAATGGCTAATTAACAGCCACCAGAGATTGTGAGGATCAAGGAGCTCGTGGACAAGCGCATCATCTTGAGTGGGATAGTAGAACCAAGAAAGATGCTGGGGAGGAAGTTTTTCAAGCTGAAAGGTGCAGTAAGGCTGGGGTGCTGCCAGGCTGGTGGGGAAAGGACTCCTTTCCCTCACTGATGGTCCTGGAGTACGGAAGCCATGTGCGGGAAGTGAGCATTTTTAACGGGATGAAGGAGATCAGGATTTGGGTTCCAAATGCATCATAATTGTGAAGACATTGGCATGTGTGCCGCCATCCTTGTGTTCAGCTTCCTCCACCTCCAAAGGGAGTGGGTGGATGGAATGACATCTGAGAGCTCTACCTCGTGAGTCAGGATTTTGTAAGAGAGGGGTAGAGAATAGGAGGGCAAGAGAAGAGAGGATTCAGAACTTGCATTTTCCTATGGGTAAAACACTGACAGATAGGTGCTCTGACCTCATCACAGGGAGCCTTGGTTCCTCTTCTTGTAAGGTGTGCCTATCTATCTAGCATGTGGCCTGGTATATCCATCTTGAGGAACTTCACATAGCTTTACTTTCCTGGACTGTGGGAGCCCGTTCTCGGGTTCCTCGTGGCTTTACCCAGCAGGTCCGCATAGAGGATGATTAGGACCACAGGCCTGAGTGCAGGTGTCTGAGATGGTCTGCACTTGGCTGTGCTGGGGGAGGAGGTCTTTTGCTCCACCCCTTGGCGTCTCTATAAAAACCCTGGAGCAGAGACAGTCGGGGCCCGTTGGAATAGGTTCCAGGCCCTCTCGAGCCTATCCTTTATTTTCTATCTGTTCATCTCCGCGATATTCTCTGCAATAAATCCTTCTATCTAATATTTCCTGCTGCTCGCACTCAAGAAAACTCTGGGGAACTGTGGGGGTGGTTGGGTAAACGCCCCACACTGGACTGGCTCTTAACATGCTAGAAATGCCCCTTAACTTGGACTCAGCATTATTAAAGACAAACAACTGACATCTTGTGACTGCAGATCTATAGGATGGTATGATGCAAAAATTTTTTGGCTTGATAATGTGGAAAAGCTACCCTGGTTTTGACTCCTGGTTTAGTATTCAGCAAGTTATACCCATGCTTTATTTATACCCAATGCTTTATTGTTGGTGTTACATGATTTTGCCCAACTATAGGCTAATGCATTTTGAGTACATTAAGGCAGGCTGGGCTTAGCTGTGATGGTTAGCAACACATTTCAACTTGCAATGTCTTCACTTACAATGGACTTGGAGGATTGTAACCCCACCACAAGCTGAGGGGAATTGGTGCTTCACTGCAGATGCATGAAAAAATTACTTACGGTGGCACAGACACGGTCCTGCAGGTGTGAATGTGTCCTCTCCACATTCAGTCAGAATGTGAGAGTGATGAGAAGTGAGGCCTTGAAGAAGTGATTAGACCAGGAGAGAGCTCCTTCATCAGTATATAAAGGCTCTTATTAAAGACCCTTCTGCCAGGAGAAACAGGTGCATTGTTATGGAGAAACATGGGTGAGACTGGAGTGGGAGGATTAATGGGGAGGGGGATGCAAGAGAGGGGTAAGGGAGGAGATATGGGCCCATTTGAGGGGCCGTAGGGAAACCTGCCACTGTAGAAGCTTCTTAAAATATAAACATATATGAAAGGAATTTAAATGGAATATCCAAATCATGGGGGAGACAATGCCCCAACTAGGCGTCTTATGCCACCAAGTGAAACCCAGTGCCAGGAATGGGTTATATCTTGTTGAGTTGCTGGCCAAAGGGGCCCCACGGAAACCCTCAAATATCTCAGGCTATCACCAAGGCTGTTGGTTGTGCTCCACAAACTGACAGTAAGGCCCTATTTCTGAAGACAATACATATCTCATTGAATAAGAAAAAGATGAATTGGTGCCTATCTAGAGCCTCTACCCCTACTAACTGGTGTTCATGATACTGGAGAGTACTCTACATGCTGCCACAGGAGAAAGATAATCATCAGCTCCACTACAAAAACCTGCCTGTGAGAGATGCTGTTTGCAGTAGTGGTACAAATGTTGTGGAAGTAACCAACCACTCTCTGATTGGTTTTAAAGCCCATTCCACAAGATGCATCCCATGCCTGATACTGCTCTTATGGCCAAGAACCTGAGACTGGATAGGCCATAGACCTAGGGGAAAACCAACTATTATTGTTCTAAAGCAGCAACTCTCAACCTGTGGGTCACAACCTCCTTGAGGGGGGTCACATATCAGATATTTACATTACGGTCCATAACAGTAGCAAAATTACAGTTATGAAGTAGCAAGGAAATAATTTTATGATTGGGGGCATTATCATAACATAAGGAATTGTATTAAAGACCCACAGCGTTAGAATGGTTGAAAACCACTGTAATCTAAAAGAACATAGCAATAAAATGACTACCAATGACATTATGCCATGCCCATAGATCAGTGCCTCACTTATCTGTCGCCAGATTAAGAATATGGGAACACAGAGACCCACAGTTGGACAATGTACAGAATGAGAGACATTGGAACACATAGTCCTAAATGGGATGTTTTTATCAAATCTCTCCCATCAGGATTCAGGGATCTATGTAGAAGAGGCTGCAGAAAGATTTGAAGAGCCAGAGATGATGGATGACTCCAAAGCAACAGTGTCTTCCAAACAGAGCAAGACTAATGCACATATGAACTCACATTGACTGTGGCAGCATGCACAGGACCTACACGGGTTCAAGTCGGACAGGGTCCCAGTGCTGAGAGGGGAAAGTGGACAAGGTCACTCCTAACCAAGAAGCTATCTGCATTGACACCTACTGGTAAAGGAAAAATTAGTTTTCTCCAATGGAATCTCTCTGCGGATATCAACCACACCTCAGGCAGGCCCCATGCCCAGGAGTAGCTGGCCAACACAAAACAATCTCAATGCTATTTTTGTAGACTTTTTGTGTCATATTGCTTTGCTTGGTCATTTGTTTTGGTGTTGGTGGTCTTTTGCTTGTTGGTTTCTACTTTTGTGTTTTTGTGTGTGGGTATGCTTGTTTCTTATTGTTTTCAATCTATTTATTTATTAAGGAAAGTAAGAGAAAGAGTGTGGAGTTTGGTGTGTAGGGACATGGGGAGGGTCTGGAAAGAGTCTGGGGGAGAGGAAAAGCATGATCAGAATATACTGATGAAAACAATTTTTCAAATAAACTGTTTCCATAAAAAAATTAAATAAAGACCCTTCCACCTTAGGCCACCTCTGCTTTGTGAAGACAGCACTTGTCCCCTCCAGAGTGTGACTGTCCTGGCAGGAAGAAAGATATTCCGAACAGACACTTGGGTCTTTTCCGTGATCACGCTATTAAAGCAGTAGACCCCAAGGAATGGGAGCTTTCCCAGGACTCTCATGCTGGGAGAAGAAAAGTGTGGGACCCTGGTGGGACCCCAGAAAGAGATTTCATTCGCTTCAGACCACTCGGCAGGAGTGACGGGGGCAGAGACAACTGCAGGTTAATGATGGGAAGGACCCCCATTTCACTTATGCATGCCTCTAGCCTTCTATTTAAACCCAAATATCCTGTCAGGAACCCCAAGATGGGCTGCGGGGGTGGGGGTGGGGGTGGGATTGTGTCACTGGAGCACTGTGTCCTCTCCCAGTGTGGTCACACTGAATAAATCCCCTTTCTCTGCTCTTCACTGTTCCTTGTTTCCTTAATTGGTCTATTGAGGGTGAATGGCTGAGCCCAGCTTGTTAGGGCTGCCAGGGTCCAGGCTCTGACCCTAACAACTTCAGTAACAAGATGACCCAGTCCTCATCAGACACTGTATCTTGCTGGCATTTTGACCTTGACCTTTCCAGCTTCCAGAACTATGAGAGAGAGAGAGAAAAAAACGCTCTGTTCTTTGTCAGGCTCCTAGTCTGTGGCGGTCTGTGATAGCAGCCTGGAGGACTGGGCTGTGAGGATAGGGGTAAGGCAGTTGCGGCCCTGGTTCCCAAGAGCTCACGTTTCAGTGATTCGCTATCCCCCTGCCATAAGTGGTCAAACACCAGAGTGTTTGGAATCAGGAACATCTTTTAAAAGATAGGTTCGCTTTCAGCATGGAGAGCTCGGCTAGCCAGCTGGACTCTGGCCGCTTCTCTGCTCTAACTCAAAGGCGAAGCTGGTTTCTATTTTGATCATGCTCAGAGATTCCAGGCACGTTGACTCTGACCTGTGCCTCCCACATTCTGGGCAATGTTCTCAAGTGAAGCCCTGGCAGAGACTGGAGGGGTTCACAGAGGTCTAGAATATCCGGGTCATCTAAGGACAATGATGCCGAGTTCGGCCTGAGTCATCAGTTTTCTTGAAGAAAGTCAATAATAGTTCATCCCCTTGTCTCTAGCTCTGCAGGGACTATCTAGATGTTTCAGCGTTCTTTGTCTAGAAAACAGAAGCATGTACTTTGTGTAGCATTCAACAAGCTAAGCCCCAAATAGGACAATTGGTTAAAAGCACAAGAGAGTGTGTCTTGGTCCACTCAGGTGCCGTGACAGAGGGTAGATTGGGATGCTTGTCAACAACAGGGAAACTTAAGGTCAAGGTCGTTCAGATCCAGCCATGGCCTGCTGAGGACCTGCACCATGGTACAGTATTCGCATGAGATGGGAGAGACAAGGAAGCTCTCTAAGCCTTTTATAAGGGTCCTAAGCCTGTTCACAAGAGTCCCACTCTAATGATGTAATCATCTCCCAAGGCCCAGATACCCAAGGACGGCACACTGGGAGTAGGAATTTAAATGGGGGAGGGCTGGAGAGATGGCTCGGAAGTTAAGAGCACTGACTGCTCTTCCAGAGGACCTGGGTTCAATTCCCAGCACCCACATGGCAGCTCACAACTGTCTGTAACTCCAGTTCCAGGGGACTGGACACCCATGGCAAAACACCAATGTACATAAAATAAAAATAAAAGAATTACAATGAAGGGATTTTGGGAGGATCACAAAATTCAGTCCAACACATGGGGAAATGAGTCAGGCTCACTGGACTCAGAGGTTACCTTCCCAGCAGGGCTTATTTGTGACAAGCATTATAGGGACTGGTAGGCTGTAAGTCTACCCAGCGGGCGCCTGTTTGGAATCTCATATGTGATGAATAAATTTCTTCCTTTCCCTCAGGGCCGGTGCCATCCACCCAACTGGGAGTTGCGATGCCGCTGGGAAGGGTGTGAGCTAAGCCTGAGTCTCCCGACTATGTTTACCCCAGGGCATCCCTAGGCTGGGACTTCCTGCCTTAAACAGGGAGGGTGCTGCCCTTTGGGGCTTGTCCCAGGGGACTGAGGTTTTTTCCCAGGCCTGTGTGTGGTGGCTGGACATGTTCCAGGGCTGGAGAGACCCTGCCAGACCTGCCTGTTGTTTCCAATCGCCCCGCGGAGGCTGAACTAATTGGCACTGTGGAATGCTGAAATCCACCACTCGGGTTCCTGGCCGCCACGAGGAAGGCTCTGGGGGGCTGCCCGAGTGGGTGCTCACTGGGGACATGGGTTTGCTGCACTCTCGGCTGGGCTGGTTTTCATTCAGTGCATGCATGCATTCCTTGGTCTGCCATCAGAACACAGAGGTGGAGGAAAACCAATTCGTTAACTACTCAGGGATAGGAGGGCCAGCTGCGGAAAGACTCCAGAGGCAAAATCCCAGGCTGAGGACCTGAATTATAGGCTGCTGCTATGGTCTCATTATCCCACCAGGAGCTCGGCATGCACACTTGCACCCTAAAGTCCTGGCCAAGCCGCCTCCTCCAGGAAGCCCATTTTATTGTTCTCAATCTTATTAGCAACACATTTACCCTGTGGGGTGGAGTGTGTGCTCAGCACCCATGGGAGGACTTGATTGATTTGCCCTTATGCTTTTATAATGCCACACCCCTGCAGCAGAGTTCTCTACCCCAAAGGATCTGGGGTTCCTGTTTCCTAAGTCCAGGTTGTCTCTTGTGGTTATTGTTCAGGGTTCTTACTCTTTAAAGAATTGTAAACCAATAATAGTTATAGGTTCCCAGCATAATTGAGCAGAAGACACAGATTTCCCAGATACCACTCTCCCCCCATGTCTCCCTCTGGCCCCCAAGCTTTCTACACTCAGCATCCCACATCAGAGGGGTGTGTTTGTCACAATCCTTTAGCTACATTAACATCGTCATCAAGACCCCACAGCTTACACCGGCCCACTGGCAGTGCTGGGCATGCTCCCTCTGCCTTTGGACAAATGTGTGATGCCATCACCCACCAGAGTGCCATAGAGAGGAATGTCTGCTCTCAAATTCCCTGTGATCCACCTGCTCATCCACATCTTCCAACCATGTGGCAGCCACTGGTTTTTCACTGTGTCCACAGTTTTACATTTTCAGTGTTAGGTGCTTGCAATCATACAGGACATACGCGCTGTCTTTTATCCCAGCAACCTGCTTCAAGCTCTCCCCCCTTCTCCCCCTCTATTTGTGGGGTGCTGGGAATTGCAACCCAGCACTTTGCCGTGCTAGGCAGACGCTTCGCTGTTAAGTTATACCCCCATCCCTGTGTGTAGGTTTTCGTGTAGGCAGACGTTTTCAGTCCCTTTGGGTGAAAGTTCAGAAACAGTAGTGCAGGCCCTGATGGCGGCAGCGTGCTTAGCTGTCTATGAACCTGCCAACCCAAGGTGTCCGTTTCGTTTTGCTTTCCGACCAGCCATGTGTGAGCATTTCCGTTGCTCTATGTGCGCGCTGGGCTTATCAGTATTCTGGGTCAGGCCACTCTTAGAGGCGAGTAGAAGCGGACTCCAGTTGTTTACTTCACAGTTTTCCTGCTGTCCTGTGGAGAGGGGCGTCTTCTCATAGTTGCCACCCAAAGCATTTCTCCAACACAATGGTGTAGTGCTTTGCTGGGTGCTCTGAAGCCCAGCACCGGGGGTGCCTTCTTGTGTGCTTCTCTTAGGAATACCGTATTAGATCCGTTTCTCATTGCTGGGACAAGATAATCTGGCGAGGGGCAACTTAGGGGTGGAGGGGCTTGTTTGGACTCGTGGTGGCGGTACAGTAGTCCATTAGGATGGGGGAAAGCATGGTAGGGCATGTAAGGTAGCTGGTCACATGACATCTGCCAGCAAGAAGCAGAGAGTTGAAGGATGCTGCTCCTCAACTCCGTTCCTGAGTTCCTCCTTCATTCTGTCGGGGGGCCTCAGGCCATGGGATGGTGGCACCATATGGAGACTGGGCCTTCTCGATATAGAAACTCTCTTAACGACCTGCGCAGAAGTTTGTGTTCTAGGTGAGTCTAGAGCCTGTCACACTGACAATGTTCACCATAAGGGGTGTGTGTGTGTGTGTGTATAAATTATGTTCTTTTCTAAAATCTATGTCTAGGCACTTTGGAACCCTATCTAGAAGACATTAAAATATTCCATCCAGGTCACTGTAGCAACTTAATAGGCAAAGAATCTGGCTGGAAAAACACAGCCACAGCCAAATAATTAAATATAGAGACTGGGAAATGTCACCTCTGGTGGGCATGTTACCCAGGAATCAGGTGCAAACAACGACCAGGGGTCAGCTGGTTAATAGAGGGCTGGTTCCTGTGTCACTCACCCACACTTCTAGACTCCAGCCAAGGCCGCTCGGGCCTGGCGTCGTCCCTCACACCATTAGCAGGGAGGTCTCTGAAACACTGGAACAGGCCCAGAGCAGAAACGTGTTGGGACGCTTCCTCTGCACTTCAGCAGGACAAACATCTATTCTGGGTTTGGGCTCTTTCCAAGTTGGGTTACACGATGGTAAACAATAGAGAGGGAGTGAGATTTTTTAACGGGGTACTTTGCAAAACACAATTAAAGCGGTAATTGAAGAGACGATTAAGTGGAATCGTTCGAGACGTGAAGAATTGTCTGTGGTTGTAAAAATGTTTCCCACCATGATCCTTGTTTATCCCTCGGATGTTTGGGAAGACCTGCCGAGGCCATTTTTTTTTTTTTTTTTTTTTTTTTTTTTTTGTCATTTGTATTTCCCATAGACTCTGAGGGTTCTCTTTTATAGACTATCAATAATTATCCATCTGACTCTGAGGGTAAAAATGGAAAGTAGAAAGTTCAAGAATCAATTAGCTGGCTTAAG